ATAATATCCTGGAACCAGATTTTAACCTTAGTTAGAATTGAATAATAATTCTATTTTTGAGTTGACACTGATAATTGATGTTAATTTTTACATTATTTTTTTTAAAATATTGCAAAGAGTTTAAAATCATTTTTAGTTACAGGCTTTTTTATTAGTTATGGATGATATTATGGATAATGCGATTACAAGACGAGGACGTCCTTGTTGGTATCAAAGCAATGAAAATGGTTTATTAGCTATTAATGATGGAATACTTCTAGAACAAGGATTATACCAAATAATTAAAAAATATTTTCATGATAAACCGTATTATGTGGATATTTTAGAGTTATTCCATGATGTATTGTATAACCTCTTTTTGAAATTCCTTCAAATCTCGCAAATTATTTTTATTTAATGAGTAGGTTACTATGAAAACTTCAATGGGGCAATGCCTTGATATGTTGACTGCTAATAGTTTTAAGGTTAATAGGTTGAAGAAATTTACTATGGAAAATTACTCATCTATTGTAAAATACAAGACTGCATACTATTCATTTTTTTTACCCGTGTGTTTGGCCATGCGTATGGTAAGAAATTTTTAAACATAAGAATTAATGTTTTACTCATTTTCTAATTTGAATAGCTTAATTTACTTTATAAATTATTTAACATTATCACATTTTTTAGGCCAATATAAATGATCCAGAAGTTTACAGACAAGCCAAGACAATACTTCTTGAAATGGGTCATTTTTTCCAAGTTCAAGTATAATATGAAAATATTTTAAATTTTGCTTTCACATGTTATTAAAAACAAAAAATTTGTAATATTTTTCATATAATATTAGGATGATTTTTTGGATTGTTATGGAGACCCTGAAGTCATTGGAAAAATTGGAACAGACATAGAAGATGGAAAGTGTTCATGGCTTGCAGTAGTAGCTTTACAGAAAAGTAATTCTCAACAAAAAAGAATAATGGAGGTATAAATAAACAAAAAAAAATTGTTTTAGAGTTTCTTTTTGTCATATATTAATGGGTTACCATTGGTATAATTATTAAACACTAGGGATAACTACAGAATAATTTATTAGAATTTGCAAAAATGATCGACAACAGTTTAAGTCTTAGAGTAATGATTTCCTCCAAAATTCATGCAAAAACCTAAATTTTACTGAAAATAGAATATTAAAAAAAATTTCAATAAGAAAAAAGTTCATAAATATATATATATATATATATTTATTAGGGTGGATCAAAAAAAGT